CAGTTTTTGTTAGTCAATGATCCATTTTAATGGCACAAAAACTGGTGTGCTGGTGACATTATTCCTTTATTCTATAAACCTAGAACGGACCAACTGAAGCAACCTTTATAGCTCTTCCAAATTTGTTTAGCTAATCCAGGTGGTGACTTTGGGCAGGCGGTGTGTGTGTGTACATATAAAGTAAATCAGTTATCTGGCACCCACGGGGATCGGTAGGTGCCGTATAATTGTAGTTTCTGGGTGCTTGAGAGTTAATAGTAACTCTCAAGCAACCACACCACGGCACACCCCCCCCCCAATCTGTGGCCAACAGGTAAATGTTAGCAGCCAGGAGCAATATCCAGACTGCTATTGCCTATTTCAAATTGCAGTAGCCAATAGTAATATGTACATTGCTAGATAGGATTTAGTTATTCTTTAAAAGAAACATTTACCTTCAAACTTAAAAGAACTTATAAAAGCTATTTTGTAATTTTATATCAATAATATAATCGGCTTTGCAACTGAAACTTGCCTATGAAGAGCTTCTTCATTTATAAAATAAAGTTCATGTAAACCCTAACAAACTTTTGCTGCCTTTTGGTCTGTTTAAAGCATTTTGTGATATCTGTTCGATATGTGAAGATACATGTCGGGGTGGCAGAAATTCAAAACTGTCCTGTGACTGCAAGTCTTGCAATTTCAGTCCACAAAAAGGTGTGTGGTGTTATTCCACAAGAGGAAATTAGGAACTGAGTGCTTTTCTGGCAGACTAACATGTATTTTACTTTACTTCCTGGCTAAAACATGGGGACATGATCGTGAATACAAAGATATATTGCATATGTTTTGTTTTTTTAAATTTTGCCTTGACATACACTTTAATAGGCATAAGGAGATAGCAAGGCTGTAGCTATTCTTATTATAACTTTGAGCTTGATAAGGTGATTTTGCCTTGACATACAGTTTAGTAAGACTTGTGTAGGCATAGAGGGATACCAAGGATGCAGCTATTCTTATTATGATTTTGAGCTTGATAAGGTGATTACTGCAATAAAAGACCATCCTATTTAGCAATGTGTTATAGAAAATGCTAGACACAATCAAGTAAGGATCTGGAATGAAGTTTGCCAACATGCTTCTAATGTGTATGATTCTCCTGGAGCAGATTGGTTTCTTTCTCAATACACCTGGACTCAGGGCTGTCCCTAAGGTACTTGCCGCCTGAAATGGTCGTTCTAGGCATGGGGACAGGTGCTGACAGGGAATGGTCACTGGACGGGGCAGACGCAGACCATGCTGTCAGCGGCTCTGCCTGGCATCCTGCTCAGTGACTGCTGTTACTGGTTGCCAGGAGCTTGGCGGGATGCAAGCCAGAGTGTCCCGCCTAGCAACTGGCGACATCAGTAAGCTGGGCAAGAAGCCGCACAGAGCGTCACAGGTTGGCAAGAGCTCTTGGCAACCACCTCAGGCTGCCTCATTATACGGATAGCCCTGCCTGGACTTGTCAAAGATCAGGGTGGTGCACTTGCCCCACTTCCTGCCCCAACAACTGCAGAAACTAAAGAGGAGCATAAAACATAAAGATTTGACATGATGTCTTCTAGACCTGTAACGTATCACTAAAACTCATTTGGACAAAGGAGATTGGCGGTACCAGGGGGGCAAAACTAAAACGAGACCATGTCAAGTTTTCAAGGCTTCAGATGACAATAAGTTGGTCCCTCATTTGTAATTCAGCTTTTCCAGGCAGCTTCATCTGCGTAACATACACATAACAAAACCTAGAAGCCATGGCACTTATGTATTGTGTCAGAAGAACATAGCGTGAGCTGGAATTCCACTTTAACAGACAAATTCTGCCTGGTGGGTCTCCAGACACTGGACGAGCAAAGCTCGCTTCTCTGACTTGGCCCCATTCATTCTAGATAGAAGCTAACCAAAGGCTGAAAAAAATTAAAAGTAAATACTTCTCACATTTTTCCTATATGTGAAAAACACAGCAAATGTAATAGCCAAATACGAGACTAGATTTTATTATTCTAAATTCTGTTTGTGGCTTCTTTTACTAAATTGTGGTCGGAGTGTGTTTAGACTGTGGTAGGAACATGTACATGATTAACACAGACTTGCACTGTGCAACCAAAGTGTGACTGATCCTTAAGTAATCATAATTTAATGATAATATTTCAGAACCTGGTTCCATTCCGTAGAAGCGCAGAGAACACACCGATTGTTTGCATTTTTGTCCTTTGCATATTTTTGCCTGAAGAATGTCAATTATGCAAAAACACTTTACAGACAGCCAGCAAAAAAAATCAGAGAGAAAAAAAATGCTGAGGGTTCATCAAAATTTGCAGCAAATTCGGGACAATAAAACTTATTTATTGCTCTGATGGGGGATTCTGGTCTGTGTCTGGGATAGCTATACTCTTTACAATCCGTAGAGGAAGCAATTTTATAGTCGCAGCCTACTCATTCCAGAAATCCAGAATGTCCTGGCTTTGTTTCTCTATTTACTCAGTTAAAGGAGATTTTCACTTTCAAACAACCATTAACCCAGCGGTGGATTATTACAGGAGCAGCTTGGCCCATTAAAGCAGAACTCCGGGCATGATTTTTATTAACCCTTCCAGCGGGTTAATAAACCATTGCACTGCGATGGTTAAGTCCTCGTTTTTTTGTCTAGGTACAAAGTTATACTCACCAGATCCTCCGAGCCGGCTCGTTCTTAGACCGGAGCCGCTCTCCCACTCCGCTGCAGCGGTCTAAGGTCCTGTGAATCATCACCTTCTATATACAGTGTATAGGACATGAGGACGCCGAGGGACATATCATTGCTGCACCAGAGGAAGAGACAGACGGAAGGGACTGTTTTAACAGCAAGCTGGCTGGGGAGGATCAGGTGAGTATAACTTTGTTATTTTTGAACCTAGACCAAAAAGGAGCACTTAACCCTTGCAGAGCTGAAGTAGCCCCACTGCAAGGGTTAAGAAAAGTTTTACCTGTAGTTCTGCTTTAAAGTAAACCTGTCACAGTCTGAGACAATCCCATCAGAGCACATGAAGAAATGCATAAAAAGGGGTTACCTTCAATGTACACTGCCCATTAAAAAAAACATCCAAATTTATAGGCAGATTAAAGGAAAAATATCATATATATTGCATCTTATCAGTCCTCAGAAGTGGCGGCTGCATTCATTTTCTCTGCCAGTAACACATTTCCTGTCCTGCGGTGACAATGCTCACTTCCTGTATTGTATCTATGAAGAAGTAGCATTTCAACAGGACAGAAGGTGTATGGGGGACTATAGAACACCTCCCTGACTGCAATGTTTGCCGTTCACAGAAGTGCAATGGGCAGGCTGATAACACTGCTTGAGGAAAACAGTGCAGAGAGCATAGGAACTTACTAGCCCACTGGATTTCTGGCAGGATTAACAGATATTTTTTGCAATTTTCAAACTGATCAACAAAAACCTTTCAATTGTATATTTAACAGACCAGAGGGGAGCAAATAACAGAACTAACTCTACTGTTAGAGTTTTCATACACCTGAATGAGCAAGGGTTAATTAATAGTATAAAGTATGTTTTTTTCCAAAGTAAGTAATGGTTAATTAATGGTTCCAATTCAAGAGATTTGTATCTGTATCACTTACTATCTTGTAGACCAGCGGTGGCCCCCGACATGCCCAGAGGGCATTACAATAGTTTTGTTTTCATAAATTTAATGCAAGGTAAAATGCATGTGCACTGCAGCGCACCACAATACACACATGCCATGATTTACAGTTTGTTGCGTTAAAAAAAGTCATGTCCAATTTTTAGTGTGTTACAGTGTGTTACTAAGCAGTAGTAGTAGCTAGTAGCACTGCAGAATTTGAATGGACTTGATCTTGGATAAGCCCAAGTTGAGCTAGCATGGACAGACATTAGCGTGATGTTTTTACAAGTTTGCAACCATTAAAGGAGAACTATGGGGTTAGGGCGTTTCCCCATAGTTCTTCTATGGTCACGGGAGAACACAAACTAGCCTCCTCCCGTTACCCTAAGCTCAGTATACCGCGAATTAAAGCTGGCGGTATACTGAGACGCCGGGACGGATCCCGACAATGCTGTCTGGATCCACCCAGCTGCGGGATTGACAGCTGGCTCTGCCTATCCAGAGTGAGAGCCAGCTGTACCTGCCCCCTCCCCCATCCGTTTTGCCAGTCAGCGCTAGAGGATCGGAAAGGGGAGGGGGGAATCCCTGCAGGGAGCCGTGAGTGACAGTCACGGCTCTCTGCAGGGATAGATCGAGAAATGAGCGAGCGACGGTATGTGTTCACTCACTTCCCGATCTGCTGAGCCGACCTGTGACAGTTTCATTGTCGGCTCAGATTATGAGGCTGAGTGAAAATCACTCACCTCATAATTCTCCTTTAAAAATCTGAACGACTTTGCACTTCCTTATCCGGTAAAGGCAACAACTGGCAGGAACATCCCACATGTGGTGTGACCTTGAGATTAATGGGGAGTGTTTTTTTTTTTTAATTTTGAATGTACTAAAATCCTGTTTTGTACATTTTTTAAATGTATTGTTCAAGAATATTAATATCATTAAAATTAGCAAAAGAAAAAAAGGGAAAGGAAGGAGTTAAAGTGACACTAAACTCAACAATTAAATCTTAAAAATACATTCAAGTACCTTAACTATTAACAAAAATGTATGTTCTTTGTGCATCACTCGGCTGCAGATCCTCAAATCATGCCATCTGCACTTCAAAAGCTTATTTAAAGTGGAAAGGTGATAATAGGGGTCTTTTGGACTCCCAGTATCACCTTAAAGAGGGCCTGCCACTGCCAATATGCTATCACATGAAGGGCTTGTAAATCCCCTATGTGATAGCAATTAAAGTATAAAAATAAAAAAAGTTTTACAAAACATTAACAATAAATGTTAAAATGATTTAACTTTTTTTAAAAAGTCCCCCGCCCCTGTGAGTGCGTATTCATGTAAACACACGTTGGGTGCGCGCTACACATGCTGAGTGAGAGCAATAAATCTAGGGCCAATATTTATGCGTATTTCTAAACTTATGACTTGGGGCTTTTAAATTGTCGTCTATGGACATTTTGGGGTACTGAATTTTGTCGCCGTTTTACGGACGCACACAATTTTTTACCTGAGCATGTTGGGTATCTAATTTACTCGCTGTAACCTCATCTTTTATACTTTACAAAACAAAATGGGTATTATATTGTGTTTTGGGGCACTAAATCTAACTTTTTCACAAAATATTTGGGTTTGATACATAATTTGCAACTGCCACCATTTTATTCTAAAGGGTCTTGGCTTTCAGAAAATATATAATGTTTGGGGGTTTGAAGTAATGCTCAGGCCTAAAATGTGGATTATATCACGTGTGCAAAAAATGAAAAAAAAAAGGCCTTGGCAGCGAAAGGGTTAAATCTAGGTCAGTTGTCGTCAGATTAGACAATTAACCTGTGCTTCTAGGTCTTCCCTGACCACAGCAGACAACCCATGGCCAAGCTTTTTTTAGGGAAGAGTTCATTGGTTGGTTTGGATTTTCCCACCTAATCACTATGGTTTTCTTCTTAATAGGTCAGTGCTGGGGTGCTCTCCCTTTCCTCCTCATAGAGATACATACTTGTCGAGTGACCTTTCCTCTGCTAGGGTCTAAAAAATTTTGAAAGATTTACCATCAAAAAAGGGACTATTAAAACCTGCCAACAAAACTTGGAAGTTATAGATCCAGAGTGTTGTAATTAAAGAATGTGGGGGTTATCAAGCTGAATTCCGAAACAAATGTGTCCATCATGGATACTGAAGTGGGTAGGGGGTTAGAAGGACAAAGTCCAAGAAGTGATTGTCTGCTCCAAGTAGACAAATGGTGCAATCAAAAATAAACGAGTCAGTGCTCTATGCATTTATTTTACTCTTGGAGTTCTTAAATGACCCTCACAGTATGTGTTCTGTCATATCTTGTTAGAACAGAATGATGCTGCTCTCTGGAATCATATAAATATTTATGGGCACAAGAGCATACAGCTATCTGGTTTACATCTAAGAAGAACATGACCAGGTTACACAAGAATGTGCTACAGATGCCACAGCCAGCATTCAATATAAACAGCTTACATCATTGTATTTTTCTGAAACAACAAAACTGGAGTCCCTTTTATCTCATTCCATAATAAAAAAAAAAGAATTTCGGTAAACATGTAGATATCTTCCAAACAAAATGCTAACAATGAGGAGAGTGGGGAAGACCAGACAAACCCTGAAATTCAGTGAGATATTCTCCTCAACGGAATTTTATTCTTCTCAATTACTTACAAAGGGTGGGTGTGCAGTCAGTTACAGTCCTCAGCTAAATTCCACAGGAGGTCAAAAAAGTTTTGTGAAAGGGCATGTTTAGCACATTTTGTATATTCACTTTATTTGTAATGTTTGGAACAGGTTAGATATATCTTACATAAAAATATTTCATATTTACTATTTCCAGCCAGTAGGTAGAGCTCTAGGCTAAATTGTTCATGTTTATCAGGGTAACCTTTACTGCTTTGCTGTAAAGCAGTCTGTTCTTTACAGCGCTGCATAGACAAAGCCTAGATTACACACATGTAGTTGATTAAGTCACAGGGGTGACCTATGTCTCCCCTCCCTGCCTGTTTTGTTCAGAGAAGGCTATACAGAGATTAAATTACAGAAGATCACAGAAAGAAAAGCTACTGCTGTGCTCTCTTTTGAAATAAGACATATGCTTTACAAAACCAAATACAAAGAGAGACCTTCACCGCTCCCTTCACATCACAGTCCTACTGCTTGGGTTCATTGCAGGTGCTGGCCACTGGCCAGAAAGCTGTCCATACTCCATAGCAAAGCCAATCCAAAAACTGGCCGTATACTGCCAATCTTCACCCAATGCTTCTTTGTATGTAAAATTCAGTAAACTTCAAGCTTGTGTTCCCCACCTGATGGTCGCTCTCCTATAACACATTACACACAATCGGGCTTAGTCGCCCGAATGCGTGAAACACATTACAGGTGAGTGACCATCAGAAATTATAAACTCACAAGATTTCTGGCAAAATCCACAAGTATTTTTTTTGTACTTATCGAACAGACATAACAAAACACTTTTAATAGTATATTTAGCAGACCCAATGGGAGCAAAAAGAAGGATTGGAGTTTGCATACACATTGTGAAATCTTTGTGGCCCTTTAACTGCATTAGTGTATTTTTTAACATTTCTTGGTCAATTCTCAAATAGTTAGTGGTTGTGCAGACATATGGAGAGAGGAATATGGCCAGGTCCAAGATTCGAGAGAGAACATATAATTCATCTTACCTCTTGTGTACCTGCTTCCAGGTCAGTCATGCCAATCACTGAGAAATCCCCGTATCGGTCTCCATTGGCGTCGATGGACACCTGACCGGCAATACCTAGGGAATGGCATGTGAGGAATTAGAAAACAAATTACTTCAAATACCAAAGTGTCCAAATCAAACACAAAAAAGTGAGTCTGCAGATTTCTAGCGAGCGATACAACAGGAAATCTCATCAGACTCCAAGATTTTCATTGGCTTTACAAGCTATATTGAAATTTCATCCCACTGTCTGCATTCCTAAAACCTGAAGCCTGCTTCATTTTTAGAACACAATGCTGGACCCGTGTGTTATGGATATAATACATAATAGTATTATATAGGATATAATTAGGATATAATACATAATAGTATTAAAGAAGGGGTCACTGTATCTAGTAGAGGCAAATTAACCTAGAGGATAACAAAACCATAAGCAAACAGTTCATATATAGTAATAATAATGGTTTTAAACAAATACACAGAACTGGGCAGAAAATTAGATTTGGTTATTTTAACCTATTTCATGTCTGAAGAGGTCTAAAAAAATGGACTAATGCAAACTCTAGTGCAAACTTTATATTTTTAAGTTTGCAACATTTTCTCTTTGTCACTATTTGAAAGTTTTTCCCTCCTTTCCTGTCCTAGTAACACTTTGTCATGCCTTAATACACAAGGGGGCTGATTTATATATTTTTTGCCCAGCTGTACGCTGGGCAAATGCTGTTCACCTGGCAGCAACCGAGGAGCATAGGAATCTGGTAGCGTGAATACCTAGGGTATGGCTGGGCTGAAGATTTAAAACTTGGTCCCAAGGTTTAAAATGGGGACAAAGACAGCAAAATCTGATCAAATCTAATCAAGCATCTATGGGATGTGCTGGAAAAACCAGTCCGGCCCATGGAGGCCCCACTTCGCAACTTTCAGGACTTAAATGATCTGCTATGAGCCTAGCAAGAGCCTAGCAAGAGCCTAGCAGCCAGGCTCTTCCTTTTCACATGTTTCACATTCTGGACGCGCAAGGTCGGAGGTCGCTCGGAGGACGGTCATAAGTGCGAGTGGTCGCAAAGCAGTAAAAACAAATACTGGAACACGTAGCTGACCACCATTAACATTAATTGGGACCGTACAATATCGCTGTTGCCCACGGATGAGAGGAGCCGGCACCTGCTCAATCTGCTGTCGGGTGTTTTTTGAGGGAATCGGAACGGGGAGATTAGAAGCCTTCTGCTCCTGAGTGATTATATTACATATACTCACTGACTCTGGTGAGTACCGATTACCTGGGGGACAGTTGATTGGAAGATCGAATTTAAAAAGGACTTTATATTTATTTTCGTGTGCCTGGGGAATTGGACTTCATTGATTTTTTTAATATATTTTCTAATTTATTATTTTTTTAGTTTGCACATTTAGTTTGTCCTATCGAGTACTTTTGATTTACTCATCACTTGGTTACTAGATTCACCTTTATTTCATATATAAATTAGTTTCTCACTTTGCAATAATTTGTTATCTGTTAAATTATATCACGAATCAGAATTTTGGAGGAAATTTTTGCACTCTACTTGTACAACAGTTTTTCGTTAATTTTATTTACTAACGGTTTGACTCAATGGTTTGAGAATTTGGTTATTTGTGATAACTGGTCACTTTATTACCTTTCACTTATGAGGGATTTTTATTACCGTTGCATTGTATTCACGCAGAGGTTTATGTTTAGATTGATCAACACGAATTAGGTTGATACACCTTTTTATCACTTGATTAATACAACGTTTTTTTGGTATTTTTCACTGGGACATTATTCACATATATATACCTTGAGGAGGTAATTAGTCCCCCAATTTGGTGGATATATCTATACCTTCAGAACAAGGCAATATATTATTTTATAGCATATACCCCCCTTTTTTTTACGGAATTTACCTTTAGCGCTGTGTTATTATTTGCACATCTCCCTTAGATAGTTAGGATACTGGTGACCACAGGACCAGAGCAAGGAGACAAACCAGCTGTATATGATAAAAAGAGCAAGATCTTTGAAAGGGTAACCTATGCAGGAGCCTAGGGGATTTCCAGTGGGCCCAGCTACAGCCTTCATGCCCCTGCCGTAAACCAGGGGATGGAACATTTGGTCAAAGCTGTGCACTTTGCCTTTCCCATGTCAAGGGATGATCAACTTGTAGGCAGTGGATGCAAAATAAGGCCATGCCAGTACAGATAATACAAAGGATGCAGCTTCTCTGTGCCTATTGCAATCCTTATCAATGCCCACTGAAAAGATGTGGAAAACGTAGAGATTAATGAAAAATTAGAGGCACTCGGCACATTGGCTGCACAAGGCAAGCAGAGAGCAAAGGCCTGGTGCCTGCCTGTGGTCTCTCATCAGTGGATTGTGTCACTTTTAGTGACTTATCATGCTTTGTCCTGCACTATGTTACTGTGCAGAGGCGGTCATCTTGGTAGAGACAGGGCATTGCTTCCTCTCCTCTCCAGCAAGAATAGTAAGCAGCACATTATTGACATCAGCAAATCTTGTGAGACTAGCAGTCAGAGTCACAGTGCCTGGGATTCACACTGCAGTCATACAGCAATGCAGCTGTAGGCACAGGATTACCTAGGCACACTTAAATGCCAGGAAGTACAGAAGGAATTCAAGACAAAGGCTAGTTTTTTAGGGTACTGTTTATGCACAATTTACATTTCCTGAGATTCCCAATAGGATAACCAATCTTCACTTTTTCCAATTAATTTCTTCTTTAAGGCGATAGTGTTGATTTACATATCTGAAACAGTCCACAGATTTCCCTAAAATAACACCTTCTGTTTTCATCAGAAAGTCTATAGTAATGAAGGTTAGCTATCAAAAAGAAAATAAATATTTTTGTCAATCACCCTGACATCTTGGTAGGCTTTCAAAGACCGATGAGCGCATGGAACAATACATGGATCCCGTAAAGAGCATCCCATTGTTTTCACATGAAAGATTAGATTTGGAAAGGGTTCTCAGTATTCTGAGATAAGCAGCCTATAACCTCACAAAGTACGAGAGATCCAGAAAAGTGTCAGAGTTCAAAGAACATTGTCGGTTTGGTTTCTATCAGACTCTGCCTTTCATAGCTATGAGAAGGAAACAAACTCTATTGTCAATGAGGAGATTAAAGGAAGGCCAGTGTCCTGGTCTAATGTTCTGTTTACTGTATAATGAAGTGTGAGAGCGTTTCTTCTCAGTTGTTGTACTTGGCATCTATCTTGTATATTAATGTAAAATTCATATCCTCACTTATCAGTCATGTGTTATTGTACGCAGTACAGAACATATGTCTACTAGGCCTAACGGTGTACAGAATACACCAGCGCAATTACCCACTGTGAACAAACAGGAACCTGATTACATAAGTCTTGGTTATTTTAAACGGCTAAGAGCAGCATTCCTGGAAACATGAGCAAAGCCTGACAGCCTTCTACTATATATGCACAGGTGTTTCTAAGCTGTTAGAAACTGACTGAAACTTGACTTTTGTTCTCTGCTGTGATCTTTCAGGATCACTTCACAGTACATGCAGGTAGAGATGTCAGGGAGGACTTGTTTAAAGTTATTTTACTGCTGTCCAGAACCCTTTCCAGGGAGCCCCATCCTCTTCTCCTGATTTATTGTTGAGGGTGCAGATAACTATCTTGCCACAGCAATTCCAAAGAGTAAGTGAATGGGTGTTCTTCATCTAGAACTAGTCTAGCCAAAGCCTTCTAAAACTCACCCAAATCTTAAGGCAGCCTTACACAGCTACAGAAATGGAAGCTGTATCAGAGAACCTGCAGACGAGCAACTCTGTGCTTTTGCTTTATTTCTTATGTAGACCTGTACTTTCTCTGCTTCTCCTGCTGCTTCTTAAAAAATCCCCTTCCAGTCATCAGGGAGGCAGCTCTGTCATGAAGTGAAGACTTGTTCCTCTACCAAGATGACCACCTCTACACAGAGGCATAGAACTAGGCATAGTCAGTGATGGGAAAAAGATCAGCTACAGGGAGACCACAGTCAATACTGATGACTAGTCATTTGGGTTTTACCTACCTTTATTTCGGCACAGCTTTCACAGTACATGTAGCTTTCAACAAATGCAAATCACAGCACTTAATGCAAAGGCATAAATGTACCTTCATATGTTCGGTTCCACATCCGATGAACCAGTTTATCTCCATCTTTCTTGGTGAAACCACTCTTCAATAGTTCATGCAATGCTATAGCATATAGGATAATGGCGTCATGGAATCCTTCTACAAACATATTGACCTGAAATAGAAGAAGATAAGAGGTGAACATGTTTGTATACTGATGAGATTAACATATGGCATACATTCAATGCAATCAAGTGTAAGAATGTAACCATACACTATGAAGCATAGGAAGTATTTAAGTAAACCTGTCATTAGTGAACTGTTATGTTCCTTCCTTCACAATGCTAAATGCCTGGCTGTTAAGCTAACCCACTAGCCTTTGTAAGTCACTGACCTGGAACAAGTATGCAGGTTAGAATTACAGCCAGGTACCTATCTTTTGCAGAAGGATAAATCGTCAATTAGATTTTTTGGTGCCCAAGGCGAGGATATTAAAGTATGCCTGCCTCACAATATCACCATCCCAGCACCCTACCCCCCGGGACCATCATAGCGTACAGAAATGACAAGTGCTGCTCAGCAGCCCTAGGGTTAGCCCCTTTTTGGTGGACAACCAAACAAGATAGAGGAGGTGTTGCAACATAGTCCAACCATTATTGTAACCAAAATTTGTTCTTCCATCTGGTCAAAAGTGCAAATTATATTCTGCGAGTAGTCTTGTTTTATAAGTACGAAAACATTCTAGTCCAAAACATTTTTGTAATTCAACGCTACAAAATATAACCAAAAAAGTTTATATATAAACCGTTTTTAAAAAATGAAACAATCAGCAAAAAAAAGGAGGAAGAAGGGGGTTGAAGGAGTTAATAAAATAAGAATTACCATGGGGCTAACATTTTGATTACTTTAGCACTATCCAGCTACAAAGTGGGCTGCTGTCAACTTTGCATTGATAACACTGGGAGGGCCCTGAAATCCTTTAACTTGGGCCATTATAATAAATACTGTTTCTTTACTGGCCTGAGTAAGCACCTTGGTAGGGGAAACACTAACAACTGGCTGAGAGTGCCCATAGGGGATAAGATAAGTACCCAAGGGCCACATGTGGTTCTTGGGCACAGGTTGGACACCAACGTACTATATATTCAAAACAGGTTGAAGAATGAAAAAAGCGATCTTACTAATTGTCTCAAGTAAAATTGTTGTTGTTTCTTCCTGCCACCCAACATGAAAATGTACTTTTAAAGTGACTCAGAGAACAATACCTCTCTAATGAAAGAATCAGATTTTTATCCTGGCATTCATCCTGCTTCCACATTGTCTACACCCCTGCAGATAAAAAGGATCTTTATCTTCTGAATTGCCCCGGACCTGTGAAAAGTCAGGCTAGGCATTTCCAGGTTCTGTAGAACCTGCATGCTGTCAGTTCAGGTTTTCAGTTCAGTGAAACTTGGAGCTTCAGTCCAAAGCGTAATCTTCATTATTGTAATTTACTGGACCTTTATGTAACATTAAGCAATGGCAATGTAACAGTGGTCAGGCCAGAAAATTTCAGTTTGGGTTGGGTAAGAAAATCCTATGTTATCTCATTCTGAGACTTGTTTGTTTTATCATTGCTCCCACTCCACCACTGCTGATTCTGGATGCTGCTCAAAATACCATCCCCAGACCAGAGCCCTAACAAATCTGTCTACTCTGCATTGGATGCTTGGCTCTGCTAGGAGAATGCTTCCATATCCTACAGATATTTTATTAAAAGCCAACGATAGGAGAAGGAACAGTGTGCCTGAACCCAAACAACAGATGAATAAGATAGGACACTGAAACAGATCACGCTACATATGTATGATATACACAGCATAATACTGTTCAGCTTTAAAAGGCCACTGAAACACCATTTCTGGGTGAGCTCTAGTAAGTTGAATCAGCACCAGCTTCTCACATGAGGTTCTTGGGAAACTTGTGCTAAGAGCAATATGGAGGCTCCCATTGTTGACCATCTCAAATTGCTAGTTGTCTGGCTTCAGTTTTTAATAGCCCATTTCGAGACAAACAAAAAGTACCTTGGCAGTAGGGCTACCCCCACACTTAAAGGGTTAGTTGCTCATGTTTGTCTAGGGCAGTGGTTCTCAACCTGTGGGTCGGGACCCCTCCGGGGGTCGAATGACGATTTGCCAGGGGTCGCCCGGGAGTCTCCTGCTATTAGATAGCGGCTCCCGGCCGCCTGGGAGAGAAACACTTTCTCCCGAGCAGAGTAAACCTTTTTTGTCTGACATTGGGGGCCGTAAGTCAGAAAACAAAAAAACCACCCTAGGAATGCATAGCTAGATTCCTATTGGCTATTTCACTTTGCAATAGCCAATAGCAAACTAGCTATTGCAACCGCCCTCTGCTGCTGCCAATCAGCAGAGGGGGACATGAAGTTCTCCATCAGGTCCCCACTACTGATTGACAGCAGCAGAGGGCGGGTGCAATAGCTAGTTTGCTATTGCAAAGTGAAATAGCCAATAGGAATCTAGCTATGCATTCCTAGGGTGTTTTATTTGTTTTTTTATTCTGACGGCGTACACCAGTGGTTCTCAACCTGTGGGTCGCTGTGTGATTTCTACTGTGCTAGGTGAGAGTCCTCCTCAGCCCTCTCCTAGCAGCAGCCGCGTCATTCCTAAATGTTACAGTTGGGGGTCACCACAACTTGGCAAATGTTACCAAGGGGTCCTGGCCCTAGAAAGGTTGAGAACCACTGGTCTAGGGGCTAGCGTAAAGCAGATTTACCTACTTGATCCCTGCTCCCGCAGGCTACCTCAGGGCTGTTTGACCAGTTCCCACAATCTCTTGTGTAGTCATGTGTAGTCGCTGTAGTCGTATTGCCTAATGCAGGTTCCATAGACCTGCATTATATGTGAGGATGCCGAGGGGCATTCCAACAACTGGAGAAAGGAGAAGGAAAGGAGAGCACTTACCACTGGGGTAATGGGGATCAGGTAAGTAAAAATTTACCCCAGCTCCAAGAACAAAATGAGCATTTAACCCTCGCATTGCGGGGGTTGCCCCACTGCAAGGGCACTTTTTCTTGTTTGCCCAGAGATGGGCTTTAAATTACAATAATGGCTGTATCTCTTCAAATCACTGACCTTTGCCCATGTCTACATACTTTGTGCTATAATGTTTCCCTCTTTTTCACTGTGGAAAATTGGGAGGTATGTGTATATATATA